TACTCTACTCTGCTCTGCTCTGCTCTGCTCTGCTCTGCTCTGCTCTGCTCTGCTCTACTCTACTGTACTCTACTCTGCTCTGCTCTACTCCGCTCTACTCTACTGTACTGTACTCTGCTCTACTCTGCTCTGCCCTGCTCTGCTCTGCTCTAGTCTACTCTACTCTACTCTGCTCTGCTCTGCTCTGCTCTACTCTACTTTACGCTACGCTCCTCTATGCTACGCTACTCTACTCTGCTCTGCTCTGCTCTAGTCTAGTCTACTCTACTCTACTCTACTCTGCTCTGCTCTACTCTACTCGTACAAGATAAGGACAGACGAACCACACCCTGTTGGTCTAGTGCAAGTTAGCTTCAAGCACTCTTATGGACATTGAATGGAGGCTGTACAAGCATTTCAAAACGCTGCTGACAGCTACATGTCAATTCGACTTTTACGTCTATTTTAAAAGGTGTTTTTCCCGATGAGAATGTTAGAGGCAACTTGCCCTGGGATCATCTATCTCATAAGCTTAAACACGTCAGTTTAATGCCACATGATGTTGGTGACAGTGGTGATTGTTTTTTCAAATCAGTTTCCCATCAGCTTTATGGAACTGCTGATTTGCACTTTCAAATTCGTTTGTCAGGAACAGGCCATTTAAATAATCACCCAGAGTTGTATGTTGAAAGTACTGTTGATGACACTTGGGAAAATTATGTAAAATAGATGCCAAATGTACGCACATGGTGTGACAATGTAATTATTCAGGCAGTAGCAAACTCACACAACTCTGTCATTCATATTACTGCGTCTGATTTTAATAAATCTGATGGTACAATTATTTATCCTGCATCAATTACATACCATGAGAAAAAGCGGACAGTGATATTCATTGGACACTTTTCCATATCACAAAAGGTTTCTCTGCTTCCTTTTAAACTTTTTAAACTAAACCTGACTTGTCAACAAGTCAATTTCCACCATACAAAATGAACATAATACGTATTGTTTTGTTGAAGTTGTTGAGTTATTGTTCAATGTAAACTATACAAATACTAGAAATACTTTTGGAATTTACCCTCTGTGATAACTACTCTACTGTTCGTTAATAACCAATTCTGTCCTTTTAACAATCTTTCAGGTATGTACAACAATTTACCATGTATGTGAAGTTTATATGAAATAATTCATATATGAACTGCGGTTGTAGATGAGAGTGAAGAATGATCATCG